ACCCTGATGCTTAACATTTAACCTCCCCTAAACACCATCACCCTGATGCTTAACATTTAACCTCTCCCTAAACACCATCACCCTGATGCTTAACATCTAACCTCTCCCTAAACACCATCACCCTGATGCTTAACATTTAACCTCCCCTAAACACCATCATCCTTATGCTTAACCTCCAACCCCTGACCCTTAAACACCATGACATATCATCCCCAATCTCTCCTTAAACACCATGACCTGATCCTTAATCTTTAACCTCCCCCCAAACACCATCACCCAAACCCTTAACATCTAACTTCCCCCAAAACACTGATCCTTTTGCTCATTTAAAGTTCCCCTTTAATACAATCCCCTTATTCTTAACTTCTAACCTACCCTAAACACCATGACCCTGAACCCTGACCCTGAACCACCCCATAAACCTTTAAACCCTAAATAACATGAACCTGATCCTTATCCTCTGACCTCACCTAAACTTGTATCCTTAACCATTAACCTCCCCATAAACACCATGACCCTTCCTTAACCAGTATTGCCCCATAAACACCATGACCCTTCCTTAACCAGTATTGCCCCATAAACACCATGACCCTTATCCTTAACCATTAACACTCTAAACACCATGGCCCTTACACCCCATAAACATGATGATCCTTATCCTTAACCATTAACTGCCCCATAAACACAATGACCCTTATGACCCTGACCCTAAACCTCTAACCTCCACCCGAACACCATCTAACATCTGACCAGTCTGACCTTTAAACTTTTAATTTGGCCACAAATACTATAACTCCTACCTTTAACCTTTAATCAGACCATGTTATTAACCCAAAAAAGCATTTTGCAAATTTAGTGGCTGTAAGCTTCTTTATTTGTTACAAAGCTACATTAGCTTTGTAGCTCCAGTGCAAAACTTTAGGCAAACTTTAGACACCAAAAATGTCTTGGCTGATCAGCTACATTTGGGGTAAGGGAGACATTTTGTTTATTTCATTTTTGGCTGAACGTCTCCTTTAATGGACTCAAACTCCTAGGTCGTCCTTCATGCCTAATTGTCTTCTTATTTAAGTGGCATGTTACCAGATGAGAAATGTGCTGACTTATAAAGGTTTCTGCCGCCTTATGTGGAACAAATTTGCCCTTTGGCAACCTCACTTTTTTCTTCAAAAAATTGTGGAGCTTTAGGAAAGCAAAACTTCCCCAGATGTTCTCTCCTCAGCCAGGCGCATATATCAACCCCTCCCCTCCTCTTGAGATAATGCTCAGAGATCTCTCCTTGTCTGTGTTTTTGTAATAATATAAGCAAACAGGACAAGGACTCGTAACTCTTCCAGAGTATGCTGCTCTTGTCTCTTTGCTTGCTCATTGGTATAAAAAGTGAAGGGGCCCTTTTTCCTGTTTCCCCCACAACCATGCAGCTACTGCCAAAACACTGCGCCAAAACCATCAGTCAGGCCGTGAACAAGAAGTCCAAGAAGCAGACGGGGAAGAAGGGAGAGCCAGAGCGAGAGAAGCCTGGAGTGGAGAGCATGAGGAAGAACAGATTGCTCGTTACCAAGTAAGCAGCACCCAAGTCTCAATGACACATGCACACGCACACATACGTCATCACTGGTATATCAGTCAATTCAACATCGATTTAACTTACATGACAACTGTTAAAATCAGCACACACAAGCATAGCTAACTCAAAAACTTGGCACTACACACTTCAAAATCTTTCTCCTTGTGTGCCAATACCAGTCATCTTAATCCAGCCTGCTGGTGGTCTCTGCTACTTAATCAGGCCTCCCTGAAACACACACACACACACACACACAGATCCTCCACTCAATAGAAAGAGGATAGACCTTGATCCCTGACTCAAATATCCCACTTCCACTGAGGCATTAATAAATAATGAGCTCAAAAACAACGTTAGCCATGCTTTCTTCAGGGCCAAAGCTTCATTCTGTCTCTTTAATCTGAAGAAAATGAGTTTTAAATGCTAGCTGATGTCTGACAGCAAGTTTTTTTTTTTTTTTTTTTTTTTTTTTTTTTTTTTTTTTTTTTT